AGACCCCTCAAACCACTCCCAAACCTGATATCCATGGGAAGAAGATAATGCTCTGTTGCTGGTGGAACTTCAAGGGATTGGTGCATTATGAAGTGCTAAACCTGGCCAAATCGTCGATGCTGATCTTTATTCGAAGCAATTAATGAGAGTTAACGAGTCTTTGAAGAAATTGGGGCTCAAACCGGAGAGAGTCAGATTTTTACGCGAGAACCCAAAATCTCACACTGCAAAGATCACTTATAAGAAAATCGTGGAACTTGGCTGGAAAGTTTTGCCCCACGCGTCTTATTCACCTGATCTGGCTCCTTCAGATTACTTTTTGTTTCGGTCGCTGAAGTACTTTTTGAAGGGAGAAAAGTTCGATGATCATGCTCGGATCATAAAAGCAGTGAATGACTACTTCACCTCAAAAACTCCCAAGTTCTTCGAGGATGAGATCCGGGATTTGCGCAGAAGATGGGAAGAAGTCATAGATACTAATGGAGAATACCTTTTGAATTGAAGGCTCTTCTTTTGTGTTTTTTTAAAATAAATGATTTGTTACATAAACGCGTCATTATTAAGTTGCCAACCTAATATTTATTTTGTTAAAAGGACGACAATAAACTACTTTCATTTTAGCTTGAAAATGGTATACACAAGTATCGTTATTCGGTCAAATTTGCTTTATGAGTTCAAAAATGGTTTGAAATTTTATTTTCAGATAGACATGGAGTTTCGCGGAATGTTGTGGATAGCATTCTTCAATCAGCTTACTCCACTCCTCAATCATTTTTGAGTCTCTAAAATGAATGATGATTAAAATGACTGAAAAAGCAAACATGGCATCGATCGTTTCTCCTCGACACTTTATGTGGTGCCTTTTGAGTTCGGCGAGTGTATGATTCGTGGTGTCACATTCTAAAAGACAATGAGTGAATTTAAGGAATATGTAAGGAAATATGTAAATTCTAGAAGCAAACTAACTTGAGCATCGAAATCGACGAGTCGACGCATGAGTGATGATGTGTTGAAGGAGATGTACTGACCACGTTTTTTTCAGACAAGAGCCACAATGCTGAAATTTTCTAACTTGATTGACTCAATGATATCTTATTTCCAAAAAAGACTGAAACTAACAAGACATGGGACCGAAACAGTTTTCGCTCGAGTTGATGGCGGATCTTGAGCTTCAGGGTTAGTAAAGGAATATTGAGCTTCTAGAGCTTCATGGCGGATGTGGTTGCTGGCTGGTGGAGCTGGCTGGGGGAGTTTCTAAACTTTATGCTAAGCCATAACATTGGCGCACTTGAGAAAATGTAAATAATACCAAATTTTCCATGCTATTAGGGCTGATTTTATAGGACATACTGTAGTTGTTCCCAGATTCGACAGATGATTCGTGTTCTTTCTAAATCTTTGACTTTCTAAGAAATCTATAGTCGAAAGGAGAAGGCTAAACAGAATTAAGAAATCGACCAAAAGATCGAGAGTTCAATATCAAGTCAGAAGAATAGAATTAACGGTGTGAATTTCGCTGCAGATCCTAAGACAGTTTAAACGAGATTTTGGAGTACTTTGACGCTAGCTTACCAAAATTGGTATACAAACGGTTGCACGGTAGCAAACGGTGATGAGGAAAATTCTCAAATATTTTTCAATTTCATTCAAATATTAAAATGAGAAAAGAAGTTTTAGAGGCGAGGTCTGGTATTGTGGTATCGATATTGCCAGAGACACTCTTTATCTCGCTCCTCCCCTTTCCCGCCTCTTTCTGGCCTTTTCTGACTCACGCACTCGACAAATCCGACGAAAGATCAATAAATGAAATTCAAAGCTGAAAAAATTTTGGTGAATTATCTTGAAAACTTCGAGATCGGGTTGTTTAGAAATTTTTAGGAGCCACAGAAACCATTGACGATAATGACCTTCACTGATACAATCATCTCCAAAAGCTTTTGACAAGTGAACCGTGAGATTGAACTTTTGGACAACGGGTGAAAAATGATGTCACACACCTTAAGAAAACGGACTCCGAAAGCTTTTTTACTACTGTAGCACTAATCGAACTTTTTAGACTAACAAAAAGTCTTCAACTAATAGCAAGAATAGAAACGCACCTGTTGCTAGGCATCCAGGTAAATCGCCTGACTTCATCCCTGCACTTGAGATTAAAAGTTGTGAAAAATAAATCTCTCTATTTTTTATTCTCATTGCTTTTGATTAAGTTTTCGATTCTCCTTACATTCGATGCTTAGTCACCGTCCTTTTCCCGTATTTTTGAGGCTGAGAAAGGAGTGAAGAGAGAGTAATTTCGACTCAGCATCGATGTAGGGATTCTGAAGTGTCAGAGGTCAGAGGTCGAAAAATGACCTTGAAGATTTCCTTAACTTTTAGTGAATAAGATTGCCTTCGATTGAAAAAGTTACAAGAAAATAACGGGAATGGACCATTTTCTAATCCTTTCTAATCCATTTTCTAATCATAGTATCCTTTTTATCAACTTGATTATTATTTGTATCATCTCCATTAACGTTTAAACATAAAAATTGCTTTATTCAGAGAAATCCGAACGAAGGAAATGCTTTTGAATGGACGGATGGAAGTTCGGTGGATTTCACGAATTGGATGGTGGGAGAGCCGGATTCGAACACCCACGCTGCGGTGAGATTTTCAACGTGAAATCATCAATATTTATTCCAATTTGCCATGCATAATTAATCCAAAAATATTTGGATCAATCTTAGGATATTTATTTGTGTAAAATAACGGAGAATGTTTTGTCCAAGGATTTTCATCAGAAATTAATACTTTTCAGCTTTGGAGCAACAATGGGGAATGGAGGGTCAATCCTCCTACCAATCAGTATCGTTTTATCTGCAAAATGTGCGCTCAATTCTGATAATTGCTTTGTGTTCTTTTCTGTGGACAAAAACCAATAAATCCCATTTTATTCAATCTTCTGAAAACACACAACTGCACATTATCTTTTTCTTTATTTCTGAATTGTTTGTTCTCATATAAAAAGTCTTCCCAAAAACCCAGAACTCAGCCTGAAGCTACAAGTATTTTACTCTCTCGTCGCTCCTGAATAGACTATTAGATAAACGTGTTGAACATCAATGGAGATCAGCCTGTGCAAACTGACAATTCTTCGTGAAAATCGCTTTTCTCGTCCAACTCGTCGACTTGTCTTTGATTTTTTTCAAATGGTAAATTATTGAGAAAATCCGGATGTTCTCATGCTATTTTTTGCCCCAAATCATTGTTGTTTTGTAGCAGTTTTCGTTCTCAGTTTTCGCTGAAATGAAGATCGATTGTTTTTGGTTGACGAGTGATGACTAAACGAATCGGGCATTCCCCTCCTTTCTCTTTATTTGGTAAGAAATCCGTATTTTGCTTGACGACAAATTTCTTATTTGATTTTCTCGTCAATTCTGCTTATTTAGTAGCCTTTTCCTTTAATTTTCACTTGTTCTTTGAGAAAATTCAAAATTAAATCAGGCTTTTTTTGATAGAAGCAAAGATTTGGTGAAAAACCCACAAATCGGCTTCGAGCTGGGCGATTTTCTTCAACAAGATGGCCGGTTCTTCTATGCGTTTGACACTCTTTTCAGGCAATTCTTCAGTCATTTCGGCCATTTCAGTTTTCGGCCAATGGAGAATATCGAAGTTTCCGTTTTAGAGAATTTTGTTTAGCTATGCTTTTTACAACAATGCTCTGCTTTAGCACAAAACAACTTAAAAAACATAGAACAACCAAAACAACAATCAACAATGATCACACCTCGAGCAGCTTTGAATTTTGAAGTTGGAGAAGTCAAAAAGGCTCTAGGAAAAATTGTTTACGCCGGGGGGAGATAGATAGCTTTGACGAACAATTGTGGCGATTTGATGGGAACGGTCGGTTCAGTTGACCTTCCCCAAAAGTGGTCTCCTGATAACTCCGCGTTTTCTCACTCACCAACTTCACACGAACTGACGGCTTTCTTTTTCCCGAAATGCTACTTTTTTTTGCACGAAGTTCTATTCGAAGCGTTTCTTTCAACGGCTTAATGAGTCAATCTCTTTCCTAAGCGATTTCAGAGCTCTCAAAAGCTCTTTTCCGTAAAAAAAACAATTGTTTATCAGATCGTCCCTCCGTTCGTTCTTCCCATTTCCACGAATTCAAAACGAATCAACCAATTCAGCAGAATGAGTGTGATGGCCGTCGGTCTGTTCATCGCGATTCTCATCCTTTTCAATGCTTTTCAAATTCAACAAAAGGAGAGAAGTGATGAATTGACGAAGATCAACTCGGAAATCTCGCAAAGTGATGATCGATCGACGAAGATTGGTGCTGATCTGAAAGAGATGTGAGTCTTGAGATCTCTTAAAGAAATATCTGAGGATGAAACACTTCCAGGGATTCCAAAGTCGCCGAAATGTCAAAGAAAATGGCGAAGTTGGAGGCTGATTTGGTTGAGGGAAGTGAGAGCAATCGAGAATTGGAAAGGAAAATCGCTGAGACGAAAAAGAAGAACGAGGATCTCGAAGCACAATTGTATCAAATTTTGTAATTTCCTTTTAGACAGGCTCAACATAAAATATCGATAAAAATCGGACTTTTTTCAGAAGAGCTTTCAGAAGA